GCCCCCGGAGCAGCCAGCGAGAGGCGAGGTGTCGCTAGGGCCTGCCTCACGTCTGTCAAGCTGTCCATGTAAAAGCTCTGGAGAGCAGCGAGATACTGCTTGACTCGCTCGGTTGCAGCGCGAATCACAATCTCTGTGCCTTGTTGCGGCACGGAGGAGCCCGGCAGCAGCTTGGCCACAGCCTGGAGTCTGCGGAAAAATCGGTCAAGGGCGCGGACCAAGAGGGAGTTATCAGCAACCCCTTTTTCCTCCTTGATCCTTCGCTCCACAAGCGAAAAATACCGAGCGGCCAGATCATCCACGAAGGCGTGCAGCTTGCTGTTAGCCATCTGAGGAATATTCTTGGATGCTAGCTCGCCTGTCTGAGCATGGTTGACGAAAAGTTCTTGATATGATGTAATTACTAAACACAAGCTGCTGACAAATTCATTGCAGCCTCTGTCGATGAACTCCAGGATGTCGGTGTTCGAGGAGGGAGAAGGCAGAGCGCTTGTTTTGGCAGTGCCGTCAGGTGGCGAGCCAACAGTGACGCTAGGCGATGGCCTCCGTGTGGAAGAATCTTTCAGGGCTGGTCCGGGCGGGCTGGGTCTTATCTCAGCTTCCAGGCTCTGCAGGTCCAACTCCAGGCGAGAGCCCGCATGGTTCAGGTATTTCTCACACAGGTCCTCTGCTGGCTCATCCAATTGCAACAGCAGCTCCACGCACTCAGACAGGTCTTTAGCACTCGAGCCACCGTCTCTGTGAGCAGAACAACACACGCAGGGAAACAGGACTATTACAGCTACCATGACACCAAAACTCTAAAAAAAAAAAAATGATGCACATTTCTTTCTTTGTGTAGCACAATATAACTAACTGTTGAATGGCAACAAAAATATATGAAACAATTTCCATAATATAGTCTAGAGTACAGCAAACCCTCCACATCTTGTATTTGTTCAGCATTCACAAATTCCTTTTTTTTTTTTTTAACCGATTCTCCATTATTCACTGGAAAAAAAAAAAAACATTCCTGTTTTGTGTACTCCATCTTGCAGCATCTTGGTGCCAAGGAATTATGTTGAAATGAGTTTAGGAGCTTCATGAAGACCAGGCTTTGTTTTGCAGTCATGTTGTGGCACTTGTTAGGCAATTATAAACGTCTCTTATCGAGGGCATCCATCATCTCACTGATTTACGCTATTTACAGCTGGCTTTGCCCCTAGAACACTCAAGTACTTTCCAGACTACTTCCCCTCCCCCCCCCCCCCCACACACACACACATTTTGAACCCTGCGGCTTTTAATGTGACATGGTTTATTTATGATTTTTTTTTTTATTACTAACGAACTTCAAGACGCTAACAGATGTACCCTAAGTCGAATCACATCTGACCAATGAACTACGTCACAGTGGACCAATGATACTGTCCACCCTTATAGTGAAAATTCATCAGCTATTTGTGGTTGGAGCGCACATGCTCCAGAGCATAATGCGCAAGCATGTGTGCTTTGCGGTGTATGACTCCAGAAGGAGCAATTGAGAGCAAAAAGAAAATTCTTGAGTTGAGTTTAATGAGCATAGGGAACGAGTGCCGTCAATATTTTTTGTTTGGCTCAGACTGCCACCATCACTGTCAATGGACAACAGGCGCTGCTATCCTCAGAGGACAGCAACCGCAGCAACATCCCCTGTGTCCCCCAAACACGTAACAAACAGGTTGCCAAAGGCTGCACTGCTGCGTGATGACGAAGGCTGTACAAGTTCGTCGGCGAATTTGCCTCTGGTGACAACAAGTGACACTGAGTAAATTTCTGGGACGCTACTGTGTAACTAGTTGCCATTGGCAATATTTGGAGGGGAAAAAAGTGTCAACTGGTGTTGAACATAAATCAAAGCTTTTTTAAAATCCAGCTATGTAACCTATTTTTTTGCAAATATCCCATGTTGTAACAGAGATTCGCGGCTCATAATACCAAGTGGCCAATTTAAGTACAAATTTGTTGTCATGGCTAAATTTAACTGTTGCTGATTTCAATCATGCACAGAACACGTCACCAAGGTCAAACAACACAAAATTGCACACCTTCATATCGTCTTGATATCTACCTCCTACAACAGGCTGAAATGTGACAATAAAATTAATAAACTCTACTGACTGTCTAAGAATATGACCCGAAATGTCTTGTGGGTATGGCCCTTTCTGATTCTGCCTGGATTCTGTAGTCTTGTCTGTCACTAGATCACATTTGCACATACACGTCAAGGAAACTGACCTGAACTTTTGCCGAAGCTCCTGCGCCAGTTTGTCCATGATGGCATGACAGTCATCCTGGATGCCCTTGAAGGAAGGCATGTGGCTGTATTGCTGCAGCACACAGCGAGCACGGCGATGGGAACTCACTGCTTGAGAGTAGGCTTGCAGTTCCAAGCATTTGTTTAATCTGGCAGGCAGTTCAAAGAGAAACTGCAACTTTCTTAACAAAGTGTGGACCCCTAAGAAAGGAGTAAAAAAAAAAAAAAAAAAAAAAAAAAAAAGGAAAAAAAAAACGTAAAGTCATGCACAGAACACGTCACCAAGGTCAAACAACACAAAATTGCACACCTTCATATCGTCTTGATATCTACCTCCTACAACAGGCTGAAATGTGACAATAAAATTAATAAACTCTACTGACTGTCTAAGAATATGACCCGAAATGTCTTGTGGGTATGGCCCTTTCTGATTCTGCCTGGATTCTGTAGTCTTGTCTGTCACTAGATCACATTTGCACATACACGTCAAGGAAACTGACCTGAACTTTTGCCGAAGCTCCTGCGCCAGTTTGTCCATGATGGCATGACAGTCATCCTGGATGCCCTTGAAGGAAGGCATGTGGCTGTATTGCTGCAGCACACAGCGAGCACGGCGATGGGAACTCACTGCTTGAGAGTAGGCTTGCAGTTCCAAGCATTTGTTTAATCTGGCAGGCAGTTCAAAGAGAAACTGCAACTTTCTTAACAAAGTGTGGACCCCTAAGAAAGGAGTAAAAAAAAAAAAAAAAAAAAACAGGACAACATAAACGTGAAGGCATACCACAACTCACTCAACAAAAAGGTGAGGTACCAGTGTGTCACCTGAGAGTTTTGTAATCTGAGCATGCTGGTCTTCAAGGGTACCACTGATGCGAGCACTAAAATCAGTGATTGCTGCCATGTTTGCAGACAGACAGTCCATTTCATCCTCCATCTTTTTGAAATCATTCTTCATCTTCCTTATGGTGTCTTGAGAAAAATGGGCGAGATTGTTTATCAAGGTGTGGTCGACCGGGTAAAGCTTTCAACAGTAATTGGAAGATGGAAGTGAATTCTCTCACCTGTAGCTGATATAAACTTGTTGTAGTTTTCATATACCAGCGTCTGCATGTCACTATCCAATGAACGAATCTGCTTGACCATGCAGGTCTCCTGGTCCATCAGCTCTGCAAGAGAGCATTCTTTTCGAAGCTGAATTGGGACACACAATAATGACTGGTTAGCCACATTTTAAAGACTCAGTGCTTTCCTCAGTGTTTGTTAAATGACTATTACCGACAATCTTGGGGAAAGTTTTGATACCTGGGAGTTTTCTGCTATTTTCACATGCAGTATTCTAAGCAAAACAACGGAAATGAAAGAGTTTCATTTAATAAATTAAGCTCAGCAAAATATTGCTTTTAATTTTGACTTGTTTCTGCTTGATTATCAATGTGATGGTGACGGGAACCCCTGCCTCACCTTGTTTAGGTAGTGCTCTGGGTCAAAATGAGGCCCGTTGATGTCACAAGGATCCAGGGACTGTGGCTCCTCGTCTGCCTTTCCTTCTTCGTTAAGTCCGTAGTAGAGCTTCAACATGCCGTGCACCCGACGCTTCCTCCCGGGGTCTTCGGAAGCCGGGGTTTCAGCTTCCATTGCAATCGGCGGCTGGTTGATTGACAAGCAGTTATAAAAGCCTACCTGATAGATGACTCCGGTCTAAATAGCGAGGAAGAAAAATCGAATGTTTACCGACCGAAAGCGTAACCCGGGTGCAAAACAGCTGTGGAATATCCCTGTAGTTTCGCGATTTACATAAATGTCAACCGTTTCCAAAAAAACTGCAATTTACTTAACGATAGTCAGTAAGAACCTTCTACCCACAAGCCGAATTGGCATTGCAGCACTTCCGGATGCGTTGCACCGTGGGCGTTGCCACTTCTCCACCAAAGAGTATGTGCAACCAAGAGAAAAATCTTCACGAAAACAAATCTATCAGCCAATATGGCGATGTGAGTGGTGCCGTTTAAAGATAGTGGAGCACTGCTACATCGGTTGTTTCGTCAAAACGTTTTAAATTATTTTGTAGCGCTGTGCTGTCCTAACAGCGACTTGACTTCAATGTATTTCTCATTTTTATTGAACGTCGCCTCGAAGTGCTGGAACGACCAACGCTAACTTGTCTGTGTTTATAGTTTCTCTACGTAATATCCAATTACCAAAAGAGACACGGTCCATGAAATAATGGAGTGTACGAGGGATAAATTGGAATAATAGTTATTGATTGTGAATGAGCCATTAAAATGTGTCTTATTATTAGAGAGCGTATTCAATATTACTTTTGGCCAATGGGTGTCGGACTTGAAAGAACCAGCACTGGGGTGCATTTATCGATAACTCGGGCATTGTGGAGGAGCGACCGTGTTCCGACCAGCAGCAACAGCAAAAAATTGACTCAGCACTCAGAAACAAACTATCATGACATTTCGGGTGGAAACTTCTGCTTTGGCTCACTACAGGCCTGTGACGGAAGGAGACAAGGAAATCGGAAAGGTGGAAATTGACCGTAATAGATTGAACACAACTAACGGTAGCGATACAAGTTTCCCAATTCACAAGTCCAAATACAGTACTGGCAATTCCTGGTCACGTGACTCGGCAGGGTGACGTATGCGCGTAAACACAGTGAGCGATGACGCCACACGACCGAGCGATGCGTTCACTGGGCGATGACGTTTTCTGAGAAGAGAAATATACGGCCTTTATACATAGTGACCAGAAATTACGTCGTCATAGGTAACATGTCTGTGGGTTTAATACATAGCTTTACATGTGACATTGGCGAATCATGCATTGTTCAGCCAGATTTGGATCGGAACCCGTGACCCTCAGCTGACACAGACTGACGCCTTAACTACTGGTTTTACCTGCTCCAATTCAGCAGAGATGGCTGGAGAATTGTACCCCCTTGAGTCCATTCACAATTTCATTGAGAAGACCGTTATCATCGAGAAGCCACAAAGGTAACACGTAACGTTAATATGATCCGGTGGCATCGACGAAAACAAATTGCTGATCGGAGTAACTAAAAATAACTTCACTTTAGAAATAATACGTTTAATTCTCAGACAGAAATATATTAGGAAATGCGAAACGTGATTTGTTGCAATGTGCTATTTCCAAAGGTATGTGTCAAAGTTCAGGCCGACAGTTCTTGAGGAGACCAAACCCACAAATTATATGAAAACGATGGGGCCAACTAGATTGGACGTGCCCATCCCTACCAATTACCTGAAAAAGCACTCCAAAGAACCCAAACTACCAGAGAGTGAGTTTTCTGTCATTATTGAATTGTTTACCTTTTGAGTTTATTTTCACTATCCATCTATCCTAAGGTGGGAACCTTTCTCTTAACACTTTAACCCATTTTTTCCAACCTTTATTAAGCCATGGCATATATTTTATGTTAAAAAATCATGAGGTTACCCACCCAACAAAAATACCTTCGAAAATGGATATAAAACATTTAATTCTTCTGCCTGTCACAATACAACACTGGAAGATGTTATTTGTAAAAAAATCAGACCAATTAAGTGAAATCGGACAATTTTATGTCACACTGGTTGGAAAGCATTGCTTTAATCAATAGTTTTCATAGAATTTGCTGTGATGCAACATCCATCTATCCATTATCTGAACTGCTCACAAGTGTTGTGCTGGAGGCTGTCGCAGCTGACTTAGGCAGGGTATGTCCTGAATTTGTTGCCAGCCAATCGCAGGGCACACAGACGAATACCCATTCACGCTCACAATCACTCTTGCAGACAATTTAGAGTGATCAATGAACATCCTATGCATGTTTTGGGAATGTGAGAGGAAACCGGAGTACCCGGAGAAAACCCACGTATGAAGGCCAGGGACCGGAATTGAACCCATGCACTGTGAGGCATCATGCCCCCCGATGATACAACAGTTGATTTTTGTTTTTTTTTTAATGAATTATGATCGTTTGTGGTTTAATGGGATGTCAGCAGCTCATTCAAAATGATTTGGGCTTTGGAGACTCCAGTGATGCAACACTGTTTTGATTAGCCTTTTCACTCTGACATATCTCCTTGCAGGCATCTGCATATATGTGATTTGGTTTTAAGCATGGCTTGCAACACAAAATATAGAGCAGAAATAAAATATAGAGGGAATATAATGAATATAACAACAACAAAAAACCTTCAAGGTACCCAAGCTTCCTTAAACAATCCAAAAACATGCATGTTGGTTTCATTGAAGACCAACTTGTTCACAGTGAAAATGTGAGCATGAATCGTCTCTATGTGCCCTGCGGTTGACTGCAATTGATCAACCCAGGGTGCAATTTGCCTCTCACCCAGTCAGCTTGAATAGGCTCCACCTAATCCTTAAACCTAAGGAGGAAAAGATTGAAAAGGTGGATCAAAAATGCCACATGTTCGCCACGCTTGCTGCTGTAGTCATTCACTTTAACTTTATTGTCTAGTCAAACAGGTCAAGACTCATTACATCTGTTCATCAAAGAAGCCAGCGGTCCCTACAGGGCCATTTCTGCCTCCCGTTACCACCCCTACAAAGCGAAAGACGACCACACCAAAGGGACCCAAACAGACTCCGTGTGTTGTTGACACAAACAAGGGACACAAGGAGTACCATAATAGAAACTCTGGACTTGTCCCTGTGTATATAAGGAAAAAGGTATTTTCCTGAGATACTTGAGAAAGAAAAAGTTATTTCTGTTGAGTGCTTTTTGTGGAAAGCAGCAGTAGTAGGTTTGGATGTTTTTTTTTCAATACGAAACTTTAAAGTTATCCAACTTTTGATCTAATGTTAATTTACTATTTATTGCAGGATTATGGAGAAGTACCAAACTATCTGATGCGCCGCAAAGCAAAGCATCAAAAGGCACTCGAAGAGTACAACATTAATCTGAAAAAGCAGGAGGAGCATGAAACCATGAAATACCTTTCTGACATGGAATGTCAGGCCATCGTTGAGGTACATTAGGCTACAAGACAGCCAACTAAATGGCACATAATATTCTATAATATTGGGAGAATAGACAGTGATTTCCGACCATTCCTCTTTGCACAATCTCTCTAAATCATCCAGCGACCTGGGTCCTCTCCTCTGCACTCTCCTCTTTAGCTCACAATAAGTGTTCAATGGGGTTGATGTCTGAAGACTCCCAATGGGCATGGGAGGAGCTTGATTCTGTTTCTTGTGAAGGCTTTTAAAACATAACCAGAGGTGCCAATTATTATGGAGTGTGGTGTAGTTTACAAATAAATTAGCCAATCATAATGGTAAGATATAAAACATTCCTCTTGTAATGATGAACATGAATATGAGTAATGGTGAGTGGCATTACAGATATACGTCATGCATTTCGGTTTTTGGGATTCATAAATGTCACACAATTCTTAAAAGGCCATAAAATGTAAAAACAAATCACCCTTAACTTTGATATCTGAACTGTATGGTGATATTGGAGTCTTACTTGATTTGATTGTGGGCAAGCTTACATCAGACTGAAAATATTGTCGGATCAACATTAACAATGTTCATCTTACTGATGCATTCAAATGCACATCAATCCTTTCACATTTTAAACTGGCTCTCTTTCCAGGACCTGAAGCAGAAATACAATGAGCTGAATGCAGAGTACCAGCGCCTCCCATTTATGATAGACACCCCGTCAATGAAGACTCGTAAGGTACGTCTCGAGGTGGAAATGAAGCAGCTGGAGGATGACATTAAACTCCTTAATCGGTTGGAGTCTATCTGCAAAAACAAGTAGCACACAGATGTGCAAATAGGGTGCCGACCATCTGTGTCATCGACTGAACTCAACTAGTGGACAGTAAAAACGCGAGGTCATGTGGATGATTTCATTTGAATGTTTGAGGACCTGTGCCAGGCAATTCCAACATTGTTGGTCAGAATTAAACTCATTCATTGCCAACCCTGCTAGTTACAATGCATATTTGGCATAATCGCCATCAATAGCAGTGAATGAGAAATGTATTTTTACATTCTTGCTGGAAGTGGGCTTGTGCTGTTGTTCCTCTTTTGGGGGATGTTGTAATTTTGTTGTCATACAATTAAATATTAAAAATCCAAATGCACAAATGGATGAGAGTGAAGTATCCACTCAGGCATCACAGTCTGTCCATGTTATTGACTTAACACAATTGGATGGTTGAGTATTTTATGGCTGTCAGTTGATGTTTTTTTTTTATTACACTTTTAACAGAATGTTGAACCAATGTTGCGTTTGTACTATTTATACTGTGCTTCAGAATTGTTCTGTCAGTCTGCTGTTTTGATTGCAAAACAGAAATAAACGAATATTGCTCCCTTCAACCGCCCAAACTTGCATACTTTACACAAGATCGTTGAATAAAAAAAAAATTCTGGACTTTAGCCACAATTGCCACAGTGCTGACAAAATAGAGTACACAAAACACCTCTGAATTGTGAGACACATATTCGTGCACGGAACTACGATTTAAAATGATTTATGTTCTGTTCGTTGCTTTTATTCTGGGAGTTGCGATAGGTGGTCTTCCTGGTTATCAGTGGGCTGTAAATCTAAATACCTGTAGCTGGGAAAATAACTCGTCGTGTAATAAACAGTGCGCTAATTTTGGACCAAAATCGTTGATTAATCTTTTTGTGGATATATTTTTCCTTCAATAAGGAGAAATTATTGCAATGGTATATGAAATCGTTGGTATTCTTATACAGTATTGCGACATCGATAACGTCACATCCGGTTAGTGGCTCAATGGAAGTTGGAACATGTTTACTTTAGGAAGATCCAGTTTGTTCAGGTACCTATGTCTCTTTGCGGTGTTGCCGAGCTCCTTTTGCCAACCGGGCATGGGAATGCTCTTCCCCCGGGAGTCGTCTTCTCGAGAAGTGAAGGATCTGAGCGGCCTTTGGAGCTTCAGAGCGGATAAGTCGCCAAACAGGAAGCAAGGCTTCGAGAAGTCTTGGTACAAAAGTCGCCTGGCTGAGGTGAGCGACTCTCACCATGCACCTAACGGAGCTTACTTTGTTGGACAATCAAAAATTTAAACGGAACTAAACCTGACATGTCACCGAATTGGAAAAAAAAATGTCAGAGTTTGCAACACAATTCTATAATTTTTCATTACGACGCAGTTGTTGCACCGATTAGTGTAATAACAAAGTTTTACGCAAGTAGTCAATATTTTCGAATGTAAATATTAACAACAAACATGCAGTGGCCGCAAAATTAATACAGCTCAAGCAATACCTTATAATGTCATTCTTTATACAGATTTTGTATTTGATCGTTAAATTGTGTGGCTGGTCGTACACTGTGTCCATGCGGTGATGCCATTCGATAGACTGGCCCCGTGATAGACATGGCCGTTCCTGCCAGCTTCAACGACATGACACAAGACCCCACATTACGAGATTTCATCGGCTGGGTATGGTACGAGCGAGAGGTGGTGTTGCCCTCTCGCTGGGTCACAGATGAAGGAACAAGAGTGGTTCTCCGAGTGGGAAGTGCTCACTATTATTCAGTGGTGGTAAGCATGAAAACGTAATAAATCACAGTTATTATTTGTGCTTCATCACTGTTGAGGTGTGTTTACGGTCTGTCAATATTTTGCAGTGGGTCAACGGGGTGAAAGTGACCGAGCACAACGGTGGCCATCTTCCCTTTGAGGCAGAAATAGGCAGTGTGATCCGAGAGGACCCGACAAGCCCCTGCAGGATAACCATCGCGGTCAACAACACTCTCACTTTAGAAACTCTCCCACCTGGGACCATTCAGTACTTCAATGACCCCACTAAGTAAACACACTTGCGTCTTTACCTACTTCAAATGCACTGTTTGAAGACAGATTTTGTTTTTCTCCTTGTTATTTATGATGATTTAAGAACAGATTATCACAGAAAAAACAATTGAGAACCAACCACTGTTGTTAGCTGCTTTACAAACTTATTGGACACGTCATTTTGCACTTTTCATCGTGACTCACATATTGAATTACTCCACAGGTATCCTGATGGCTTTTTTGTGCAAAACATCAACTTTGATTTCTTCAACTATGCTGGGATTCACCGTCCTGTATTGCTGTACACTACTCCCAAGGCTTACGTAGATGACATCACAGTCGTGACGGACTTCTCGGATAGCACAGGTATCTTTTTTGGTCCTTTTTTTTTTTTTTTTTTTTAATCTTATTATCACTCATACACTACACTAAGCAGACACTCAATTAGGTACATCTGAGAATAGAATAGCATCTTTTCAAAGACTATGAGATCATCTTCACTTGGAGCCATATAGTTTGCAGTGGTGGAGAACTTCACTGCGTCATGCTGGGAGCAGTTTATAATGACTACATTAGTTTGAGTGGATTTATTCATCTACCATTTACTGACCCTTTAGAGAATTTCTGGAAGTAAACAATATTTTTGCCTCTCTTGTTGGACCAAATAATATAACTGCAAAAAAAAAAAAACCTCAGCTAACATATTGTTAAATTAGTTCTGACAGAATCATTAAATTATTTTTGTAAAGACAGAATTGTTGCTGTAGCTCTTTTGTTGGATCTCACTATATTGTCAAAGTAATGTTGCGGTTCGAGAATCTGTGTACTGAAATCTTCTCTCAGTCTTGTCCGTCCACAGTAAGTTTCATCCTCTGCGTTTCAGGTCTAGTCAACTACAAGATATCAGTCCAAAATGCTGCTGAGGCCACCGTGAAGGTCACTTTGATGGACAAAGACAGACATTGTGTGGCTTCCTCCAACGAGCCTTCTGGAGTGCTCAAAATCACAGATGTCAAACTCTGGTGGCCGTACTTGATGCACGAGAAGCCAGCTTATCTTTACTCTTTGGAGGTGGGCCAACGTTCAGTCACTTTGCTACATGAATGATCAATATGTAACATGTATTTTTTTTTAATTCCACCTGAAGGTTCACTTGATGGCAGCAGATGAAAGATCAACTTATACAGATGTCTACGCTCTGCCAGTTGGCATCCGCACAGTCCGTGTCACGAGCAGTCAATTCCTCATCAACAACAAGCCCTTCTATTTCCACGGGGTCAATAAGCACGAGGACTCTGACGTGAGTACCACTAGAGGGAGCCAGAGGACTGCTTTATGTCCCACACCGCTACAAAAGTGAAGACTAAAAATCTTTTTTTTGTAGCCGTGAATGTGTTTGTCCGGATTGGTGCGCCTTGTGATTGGCTGGCAGCTAGTTTAGCTTGCGCACAACATTTTGCCTAATGTCAGCTGGGATAGGCTCCATTGGATTCACACGTTTTTTTTTCTCATGTAAATGAACAAATATATATATTTTTTCAGGATGTGTTCAAATATGTGGCTTCACTGTTACGATCCGTAATGACATTTTTTGGTTGTATTCTATGAAAGATTCGAGGTAAAGGATTTGACTGGCCCCTGATTGTCAAAGACTTCAACTTAATGAAGTGGTTGGGAGTCAACTCATTCCGAACCAGCCACTACCCCTATGCAGAGGAGATTCTGCAGATGTGTGATCGCCACGGCATTGTGGTCATCGATGAATGCCCGGGGGTGGGCATCAAAGACATGTAGGTCCAAATGTGTTGTGTCCGTCACCATCGCCCATGAACACCGTCGAATCAGTAACTAGAAATGCAAGACACTCATTCATATTTTTCAGTCTTGATGTTCAAAATACTTTTTGGGCATTGTAACAAGAACTGTATTGGCACTGAAAAAGATTCCGTCTGAAAGATAAAATACAGACACAAAATATTTGATTCAAAAACAGATAACTGGTCTAACCTGTCGATGTCACATCTCTGTTTGTTCGGCTGTTTTTTTTTTTTGGTTTTTTGTTTTTTTGCCTAAGATGTGTGGTAATAATACTGATTGTGTGTTGCCTAATCGACAGTCGTAGTTTTGGCAACGCCTCCCTGGCCCATCATCTTGATGTCATGGATGAGCTTGTGCAACGGGACAAGAACCATCCCTCTGTGGTCATGTGGTCAGTGGCCAATGAGCCGGCGTCAGAGATGCCTCCTGCTGAATTGTATTTCAAGTGAGTTTTTATCGTCTTTCTGTGAAATTGCGTTCATTATTTTATTGAATATCCACCCCTCAATCCCCTCATGTCCTTTGTAGCCTGTAAGGTGCGCGGTGACCCAAGATGGTGCCAAACAGATGCAGGGTCATTGGGTCACCATCATCGTTGGACCCTGTTTCAATGTTGTTGTTGTTTTAGGGTTAAGGTTATTCTACAGTTTGGACTTTGCTTTACTTTCGTGAATATTTTACCAATCGTTATCATAATGAGGGATGGCTTGTTCCGTATTAAAAAGGTAAACAATGAGAAGACCCATTTTTAGATTGACTGCTTTAAAATGTGAATGCATTTAAGCGATAGGATAGAGATGGTTAACGCATGTGTCCATTGTCTTCCGTCGAACTGTTCTCCTTCCAACTAAAATGTGAATTGTATTTGTCCCGCAGGACTTTAATAACGCATACTAAAGATATGGACCCGACCCGGCCTGTGACTTATGTCACAGATAGTAACTATGCCAGAGACAGAGGGGTGAGTTTGATCAATTTGAGACCTTGCTGATCATTTTTTCACATCAAAATAGTATTAGCTTTTGTGTATGGGTGAAATATTACAACTACTGCTATAACAACAAACAAGTTCTCTTTCATAAACTAGTTAAGAGCATTTCCAGTCTGGTCCGGAAGTACCGGTATTAGGTCGTCACTTTGTTGTTTTATTTCCAAATCTGTTGTAGAAGTTGCTAACAGCAAAACCCTAAAAACTTCCCAAATACTGGTTCACGGAAATGTATTTTAGTCATACTGACTTGGTTTGAAATGTGCTTCAACTGTCATGTGAGGGGTAGACGCTGACGTTATGATCACAACTGAGTGGTATTCATTCCTGGGAATTCGTCACATTCCTGTGCTGTTACGTTCGTCGCCTGAAGGTGCTGATTTGTGTGAGGGACCACTCATCTGTGAAGGAATCGCAAACATCTGATCAGAACTCTGCCTTTTCAGAGAATCAACTGACTTTCTTCTTTGTAAGGGAAGAGACAGACACGTTTATTTGTCAAATTCCCATTACAAAAAGATCCTCCTGAAAAGTGTCAGGTGAATGTTCAGGAAAGAAATGATACCTATTTAAAATTGTAAGAAAAAAATTGCACCTCCTAGAATGTCATTTTCTTGAACAAATGCCTAGCTTTACATGAACTGTGCACGCTTTTGTTATCTGTGCCAAGGCCCCCTACGTGGACGTGATCTGCGTGAACAGTTACTTCTCCTGGTACCACGATCCAGGCCATGTGGAAGTCATCCCGATCCAGCTCAACACCCAGTTCGAGAACTGGTACGGGAAGTACCAGAAGCCCATCATCCAGAGTGAATACGGAGCGGACACGGTGCCGGGCCTTCACAGTGTGAGGAAGCATATGCAGTCGAGACAGCGAATGTGATCAACGCATGTTGATGCAAGGCAAGATCAGTTACGATTTATTTTTTTTCTGTCGTCTCCCTGCAGGACCCGCCCATGATGTTTACCGAGGAGTACCAGAATGTGGTCCTGCAGAGCTACCACAACGTGTTCGACCAGAAGAGGAAGAAGTATGTCGTCGGTGAACTCATCTGGAACTTTGCCGACTTCATGACTGTACAAGGTACTGCTGCCTGTGCAGAACGCAACACAAGCTCTCAACGTGAACACTGAATCAATGCATTTGTTCGTTTGTTTATTTTTTGGGGGGGTCATTAATCTTATGAAATGACGGGTTAACCGATTTATTGTAAATAATAAAATAGGAGTGCAATAAAAAATACATGTTAAATATGCATGAATGTATTTCTGATTAGTAGCTATGGCATTTCAAACAAAAATTCCACCTGTTGCTGGACCTAACCCTTAATTCGTAAATTACATATGTAACATATATTACTATGTTACATATTATATTTTTTGTTATATATTTTAATTTTTATGAAAATTCAGAATCAGTGCAAAAATATCTCAAAAAGTTTAATTTTTGATTACAAACATAGTTTAAAAAACGGTTGACCAGTGTTATGTTCAAATAACACTTTTACATAATAAGCAAAGCATATAAGTATGAAATTGTAGTCCATTTAAAAAAAAAAAAAAAAAGGTAATTGAATGGATGGTAATTGAACTCACCCATACAGTGATTCTGCGCTCAATACTCAAAACCATATTTCCCCATTGAAATGATTGGAAAGGTAGAATTCCTTTTTTTCCATTATTCCACTCTCCGAACTTCCTGTTCGTTGCGTCTTGCAGGGATCACTCGCGTGGTGGGCAATAAGAAAGGCGTCTTCAGCAGGCAAAGACAACCCAAAGCAGCGGCGTTCATCCTGAAGGAAAGATACTGGAAGCTCGCAAATGAAACGGGGAAGATCCCTTCTTGGTTAAAGTATCCCTGTGGACTCTGACAACCGCAGCGCCAGCGCCAATCATTATTAACAAATCGCCTCGTTTACTGTTTACCAAATGCATTGATTCACCAGCAAAATTGTTCATGTGTCTGATAGTTTCAGACCACTCACCCCCACTTTTCATAAGTGGGGTGAGTGGTTTCCATAAAATTGAATGTTAAATTCCAGGAGGAGTAAGATCTGGATTTATTTTTAAAATTGACTCATTTTGCACTGTTTGTTTGATAAATTCTGATTTCCAACTTATTTCAAAAAGTTACTGATGTTAAAATGTGTAAAAATATTTTTTTTAAATGCATTTATGATCACGAGACTGGATCCATTCAATCTTATTGATTTTTTTTTTTTTAAACATGATTACAAATTGTGTTAAAGCACTGTGGAGCATTAAGTTAGACTATCAAAAGCTTTTATGTTCGAATCTCGGCTCAGACCTTCCTTCGTGGAGTTTGCGTGTTTTACTAGAATTTGTGCAGGGATCTCCTGTGAGTGTGAATGGTTGAATGTTTGTCTGTGTGCACTGAGATGGACTGGTGACCAAGTCCAGGCTTCATTTGCACCTCTCGATGGAATGGACTGCACAGACCTGCTAAGAGTGACAAAGGACAATGTGATGGTGCAATGACATGATGTGTTTGGCCAGTTTTATGCTTTGGTGAGTAAAAAAAAAATTAAGAGAGGGCTGTGTGGTGGCATCCAACGCAACTCAACTAAATTCACAAGCAATAATTTGACAAATAGCCAAATGGCACAATTGCAAAAACTGAGTTTTGCATGGATCGACATATTTTAGTCATTAAGATGATGGCGCACGTTGGCGTTCCAGTACACACCTGCTTCACAGGATGCTGTTCATCTTTCAACTGTTCGCCAAATGCTTTCAAAGTCCTGCTCAAAGGACATTTTAGACAAGATAGTCTTTAGTACTTAGTCTTCGTCTTCATTATTTCCAACAAAAAGAAAAAAAAAATCAAAATATTTTTAATTGAAATGACATCCACTGAGTTGGTTTCTGAGGGAATGTTTTAATGTTTGATCATTTCCACGACAGTGCCACCGTTTTCAATCTTCTCATGTCAGTCTCATCCAGTTTTCCCTTAAAGTTTGAACACACCCTCCTGCAATTGGTTGTAACACTTTTCCAAGTAAGAAAATACCGCGTTTTAAAACACATTTGGCAATACAGAAGCAAACCCAGTAAGTTTTCCTCCACAAGAAAAAAAAAACCCGAAACAAACTTTAACGCAAGTTTTTTGTTTTGTTTTTTAACTAAAGCGATCCAGAACGTTAACAGTCCATACAGCTAAAGGGCCTAAAGTTGCAGAACATTACAATCCTTTTGATGAAACGTGTATACCTTCCTATCATGTCCCATAGGTAGACAAAATTTAACACTTAAAGGTGTAGTTTAGGTCAGAAATATGGAATGGCCATTTCCTTGACAGGGATTTAGGTTTGGTCATTTTGGAAGGGGCAATATTTCTGAATTCTCCATTTCAATTGTCTGGGAAGGAAACAAAAGTGCCTGTTACATTGGTCATTTGAAAGGCTATCACTTGCCCATCTTTTGGCTCAAGGCCTGGTGATCAAACAGAAGGCACTTAAGTTGACAGTGGTGATGCAACTTACACGGCAGTTATCCTCGGAGCCTCACTCAATATTGAACAAATACAACTGAGAAACATTTTTTCCCTATTTAACATTAAATTTACCCCCGCCTCCCAAAAAAATCCCTTTCCAGCCAAATAGCTTAAATATCTGAATCTGTTCAAGTAACGTCATAAATTGCTCACGAAACCCAATGTCAAACCTCACCTTAAAAAAAAAAGGGGGGGGGGGGTGACCTCATGTTGATTAAAAAAAAGATACACTATGTCAGGAGGATAATTGTAATAAGAAGATGTCATATCATACAAACTGCATGTTGTGGGGAGTGATAGCCACTCAACCACCAAGTGACCGCCGAAAACATTGCGCCGTGTTTTACATTGGTCTCCTACAAGTTCGCATTTTCTTCAGTGAATGTAAAGCATAGTTTCTTTAATAGTGAGGTATAACTGCTTTTGTTTTTTTAATACAAATGACATTCTGCTTTGGGACATGGGAAGAGGTTTTGTAACTTTTGTTGGACAGCGACATGGGGAAAATTGCAAGCCGCTCAATCAATCAGAACTGCTCAATTTATTACAGGAAGGAGATGACTGAAATGACTTTGCTAACCGTTGCTATCATCATACTTGAAAGAAAAAAAAAGACAGGCCATCCCTTTACGAAGAAAACTGGCTCATAGCATGCTTCAAATTCTATTTTTAATTGGCTCACTACACAGTTGTGGTCGTGAAAGTATCCAGTGGCCCACAGGAGATTTAAGTGGGGCTTATGAGTGGGAACGTACGAAGGAGTATTAAGGCCACACTACAACCAAATCAAGTCATACGATGACAATCAAGTCGGGATATTATGAGGAAGAGTCTAAAAATCTGGCTCGGCAGCAGACAAGGTCGTGCTACTGTGCTACACATTTCAGCTTCGTTCTCATCAGACTTTCTCACAAAATGAAAAACGTTCATCCATTTAGCCTCAGTTAAATGATTTTCTTTCATTACGTGGCCCTAACACTTCTTGGTGAGAACTGATACAACTTCTCTGTCAATGGATTACTCGTGGTACGATGGGAAGCGTTCAGCTGTTCATCCCAAACACCCGCTTGCCCTTGTATGGCTTGCCGTTGCTGTTTCAGGACTCCCAACGACTGGTTTTGCTTCTGTTATGAAGAACCTGCTTCTGTTATGTGAGTCAAACCAGAACACCCCCCCTCATCCCCCGGGCCCTCAAGGTTTGTCCAGCAAATGAACTGTAACTCAGCTGGGCGGCATCACCATTACTTGTTCAATGGACATTGACGCTATCTACCCCAGTGTAGCAGCCTCTGCTACCACGTGAACTTGAGAAGGGAGTAACACTCAACTGGTATCTTACATTAGAAAAACCGTGAGCCTAGAAAAAAATAATAATAACAACAATACCACCTCGCACCGTTGACAGGAAAATAAACAAGCAAATGTGGTGGTCTAATTCACCCCCCCGGTTTCAAATGAAATCAAATGAATGCTTCAGGCACATACGTTTTTCAGCGGGGAACATACAACTCCAGATGTGATGGCACTCGGTGAAAAGAACCTTTTCGGTTTCACAGCGACTTTTTTCGTTGCATGGTAAGTTTCCCCTTTTTTTTGCCAACCAACCTCTCTGGAAATATTGCTCAGCAGCTATGTACACAATTTGAAAACAAACTAACTCACCCATCTATACACATGTTCATTTTTAGTGGTCCTCTTGAAGACAATAACAAAAAGCATACTACAAAGTGTAAACATGAAGGGACCCCCCCCCCCAAAAAAAATCTATATTATTGTCAATTGTTTTGTGCCCTCCAAACTCGACATTTCAAGACTCATTTGCAGGCTCTTGGCTGTACTTAACGGTCATTTTGGAATCCACCATCTTACTTTTTTTTTAATGCATCTGCTGCGCTTGTCTCATATGAGATCCTTCTTGTTTGAGACGTGGAGAACTGCCCTCTGGCTTGCCGCGTGCTTTTGTGCAAACGCCTTTCGTGCGCTCAGGCTGATGCCTTTTTCTGGTCGCAACGAGAATGTTTCAACAATTTAGAATTTGAAACACTTGAAAATAAAATTACCTCTCGCTTCAGAATCCTTCCGCAATCGAGAGGTGTCAGGACCAACGAATAGGTTAGATTTCTTCTTTTTGTTGTTGTTTTTTTGGTGAACACACAGCAGAATGAACATTTGTTTGGAAGCAAGGTCTCCTGGCGGCAGTCAGTCACATTTCTTTTTTGTTTGTGTCACATTTTCTTGCTGCGCTCGCACAGCTTTAGTCCTGCTTGACTTGAAGCTGCTGCTTCCAGGCCTCGTTCAAGTATACCAGTCGCTTGTAGTTGAGGGTCAAGAGAATGAAGTTCAGCGCATATGTGGTGATGCAGATGATGCACAAGTCCTTCAGGACAAAGTAGAGGATGTAGCCCAGGTAGAGTGAGCCCATCACCGACAAAATGGATGTCGTCATTAGAATGAGGGCAGCCATCGCACTCACCGTCATTCCTATGGGAACAAAAACACACAAAAGTATTTTAGGCATTTTAAACAAGGTTTTTGCCTCTTTTTTTTTTGGGCTGGGCGGTAAATTAGTAGCACATCACTTTCAAAATTATGAGCTTTCAGGTTCAAATCTTGGCTCGGGCTTCTCTGCACGAATATTCTCTTGGTACTCCCGCTTGCCCACATTTCAAAAATGCAGCGCAAGGTTCTATAAATCATTTTCATGAGTGACAGATTTCGGCTGGGCTTTACACGATCAGGAGTTCAAATAAACCTATCACCGATCTGATTACAAGTGGAGTTGGGCGATATTGGCAAAAAGAAATTGACTCAACAAAAAATACTGTAAATCTGAACTTGTGTCACAGAACAATTGAACAGATGTTTCTGAAATACAGCCTTTTTTTTTTTCTTCGTCCTCAGCAAAACAGCACAATTACAATTATCGAAAGCAATATTTAACAATGGAGAGATTCAAATTACGCCCAGGCTATATAATGTGTTTTCATTCATTTTCCGATCCGCTTTATCCTCACAAGGGTTGCGGGTGGTGCTGGAGCCTATCCCAGCCATCTTCAGGCAGTAGGCGGGGGACACCCTGAACTGGTTGACAGCCAATCACAGGGCACACTTAGACAAACAACCATTTATGCTTACACTCACATCTAGTGACAATTTAGAATGTTCAATCCGCCTGCCATGCATGTTTTTGGAATGTGGGAGGAAACCGGAGTACCCGGAGAAAACCCACGCAGGCCCGGGGAGAACATGCAAACTCCACACAGGAAGGCCGGAGCTGGAATTGAACCAGAGAGTGTCATACCTCTGCACTGTGAGGTCGACACACTAACCACTGGACCACCGGCCGCCTAGGGTGTTTTCATTGATTTTTTTTTTTTTTCTGGCCAGAGAGTGCCATCCCTATGTCTCTTAAACACCAAAC